GGCCTGCGCGGCCCGGTTCTGCCTCCTAAGCGTGACATGGGGTGACCGGTGTCGCTCGCGGCCGTTCAGCGGGATAGTGGGGCGGCGGCGAGCGGCTGCAGGGAACTGTCACTGTTAACAATGTGATCTGAACCCCTGCGCGCCCGCGGGGCCTGCCTCTGCCTGCCGCCCCGCTCTTCCTGCCCCCGTCCTCCGCGTCACTGTTGACCTCCTCACTGCGACACTCGCTACTCCGCACGTTTTCTGCTCTTCCTACCCCATCCTACGCCGCACGAGCCTCCGTTACCTCGGGGTGCCTCTGGCGCACGCCCTGCGCGCCCCTCGCCTCCCCTCACTCCCTGTTGTCCCTCCTGAAGGGCCTTCCCTGCTCGCGGGCGCCCTTGGGAGCTTTCCTGCTCCCCGCCTCTGCCCCTTTCCTGACACCTCCAGGCCTCACGCTTACCCAGAGGCTACCCTACCCGCCCTGGCCCGAATCGCGTGACTCGGGTGAGAGACAGCCCGCGCCGGTGACCTTCCTGCTGGGTGGGGACAGGTGTGCCGTGAGGGTTCCCGCGACCGTGTGCGTGGTGGGCCCGGGCCCTGCTCCGCAGGCGGGAGCGCTGGCCAGACTGTGACCACCAGCCACCTGTGGCCATCCGGACTGTGACCGCCAGCCACCTGTGGCCATCCGGACTGTGACCGCCAGCCACCTGTGGCCATCCGGACTGTGACCGCCAGCCACCTGTGGCCATCCGGACTGTGACCGCCAGCCACCTGTGGCCATCCGGACTGTGACCGCCAGCCACCTGTGGCCATCCGGACTGTGACCGCCAGCCACCTGTGGCCATCCGGACTGTGACCGCCAGCCACCTGTGGCCATCCGGACTGTGACCGCCAGCCACCTGTGGCCATCCGGACTGTGACCGCCAGCCACCTGTGGCCATCCGGACTGTGACCGCCAGCCACCTGTGGCCATCCGGACTGTGACCGCCAGCCACCTGTGGCCATCGAGCTGTCCTCCAGATTGACCAATTGTCCCGTTGGCTGGGGACTCTCCTGGTTTTGGCACTGAAAGTCCTATGTCCCAGACAAACCCCTCACCCTCACTGTGCTTCAAGTGTACAAAACACATTAGATTTTGAAAACTTTTCACTTTATAATGTGAGCACTAAAATTACATATGTGGCTCGCAGTATATTTCTGTTGATTATGCTGTATATGGTTCTCACTCAGTAAATGCTGTTGCTACCTTCAGAATCACTCCCAGGCCCTGCCTTCTGTCCTTAAGGCCCCTGGAGCTGTTTCCAGCTTAGAGCCCCTCCTTCACCTGCAGTTACCCTCTCTTAAAACTGGGGCTTCCTGACTCAGTGGACTTCAGGAGGGTTAGGAAAGCCTTATTTTTATCCAAAACCTTGTGACTGCATACATTTTTTAAAGGAGATCCCGTAACTTTCTTCATATTCTCAAAGAAGATCCCCCCTCCTAAAACAGAACAAAACAAAACACAGCCCATTACCGTCCATATTGTGAAAGCTTTGCTTTTCTCAACATTTTGGCTCCCCTGTGACCTGCGGTGCTGCTCGAGTGGAGTTGGAGGCTTTTCAAGTTTCAGTCAACTCTGATGAATTGCACTGGACTCTGGCTTCCCTGCATATGACCCACTCCTTAAGCTCTGTTTACTTCTCCCATAATTTTTTGCTTTCTGTGCCCAGGTACTTAGGTGTCTGTTGAGTAGAGTGACCATGATTACACTATTGTTTTCTTTCTACTCTGCATTTGTATGGTGCTTACCCCTGGGTAAGCTGTGAATTTCAGAAGTCGATTTAGTCAGCCCTGTGGCTCAGTTGGAGTGTCGTCCCATACACCAAGAGGTTTTGGGTTCGATTCTCGGTCAGGCACATGGGGGGGGGCAGCTGATCGATGTTTTTTCTCTCTCTCTCTCTCTCTCAAATCAATTTTTAAAAAAATAGAAACATCCTTGGGTGAGGATTTTTTTTTAAAGTAGATTTAATCATATTTTAGGTTTGAGTACTATGTATTGGTATTATTTTGGCCATTGGAGGGTTTCTAATTTCTTCATTGTAAATCCCTCCAAAATAACAATGACTGAATTCTGAACTCTCCTGCCTTGAAGCAATCACTAATATTCAGGTGACACATAATCTGATCCTTCATGTTCATGTTACTGCCTTTGTTTTACATGAATAGCGATGTTAAAATTTAATCATTCCAGTTCGAAAACATCCACTGAACATTCTTCACAGAATTCCAGCACTGTAAGGACCCACCACACCATCCAGTTTTCCTAGAAATACCATTTGCTACTTGAAAAGTCTGGGTAGAAAGACCCCACTGCATTCCTCAGTATTAGCATCCAATGCCTTTTTTCTCTAATATGACCTTGAAACACTTCTTACTTTAAAAAATAAGAAACTTTAATAGCACAAATACTGAGTTATTCCCAACATTACTTTGGTTTGCTACATGAATCTTTCCTTCGCCAGTTACCTGCTCTTCCAGATGGCGGTGGTCCCGGAGGGAAGGCGAGGGACTCTCTCTGCTCCAGTGTTTCCTTCTCACCATCCAGGTGACACTGCCTCAGTCTTCAAGGAGCAGCAGGAGTCATTTTTGTCCCCAAGGCTCCTTGCCACGCCCAGGAGCGGGCCAGACATTGACTTCCTGTACCACCTCCTCTCCTGTTGGGAGCAGCAGCTGTTTTTGCCTGTTAGTGAGCAAGCGTGCCTGACCTTGGGGGTTATCCCTGTAGGATAGAACTTGGCACCCGGCACCCATGCCACCGCAGGACACCCTGCTTAATTGGACTGTATGATTAGTGGCTCCTGAGAGACCCATTTTTCTCTTAGTGAAAGTGTGTATTAATTTAGCACTCCCTGTACTGTCCTTTCATGTCATCCAGTCTTCTTCCAACCTCACATTCGTCAGGGTACATGGCTCCATTCCTCACAGTGCTACTTTCTCCATCTCTCTTCATTGTGTGGCTGCTGCTTCATTTCTGAGGCCCCAGATTAGTTTCACTGGCATTTGTCTAACAAAAGAATTGGCATTTGTCAACAAAAAATGAATGCTTTACATGTAGGAGATACACAGCTTTGTAAATTGGATCGACTGTGTGTCTATATCACTCCTGTTTCTAGATATTAAAAGTGCGACTCCAGTGAACACAGGAATAAGAAAGGGAAACAGCCCTATTGCTGACGTGGAGAAAGTCTTAGTGGTCAGAGAGATCAAACCAGCCACAGCATTCCCTTAAGCTGAAGCCTAATCCAGAGCAAGGCCCTAACTCTTCAATTCTGTGACGGCTGAGAGAGGTGAGGACACTGCAGAAGAAAAGTTTGAAGCTGGCTGACATTGATTCATGAGCTTTAAGGAAAGAAGCCGTCTCCATATCATAAAAGTGTCAGATGAGGCAGCAGTTATTCAGAAGCTCTAGCTAAGATAATTAATGAAGGTGGCTACAGCAAACAACAAATTTTCAATGTAAACAAAGCAGCCTTCTATTGGAAGAAGATGCCAACTAGGACTTTCATAGCCAAAGAGGAGAAGTCAGTGCTTGGCTTGAAGGCTTCCTAGGACAGGCTGTCTCTCTTGTTAGGGGCTCATGCAGCTGGTGACTTTTAAGTTGAAGCCAGTGCTCATCTACTATTCCAAAAATCCTAGAGCCCTCAATAACTATGCTAAAATTATTCTGCTCGTGCTCTATAGATGCGACACCAAAGCCTGGATGAGAGCACATCTGTTTACTACATGGTTTACTGAATATTTTAAGCCCACTGTTGAGACCTGTGATTTCTTTAAAAATATCACTGCTCATTGACAGTGCCCCTCACCTCCCAAGAGTTCTGACAGAGTTGGACAAGATTAATGAATGTTGTTCTCATGCCTGCTAACACAACATCCATTCTGGAGTGATTTCGGCTTTTAAGTCTTACTATTTAGGAAAAACATTTCGTAGATAGTGATTTCTCTGATGGATCTGGGCAGATAAATTGAAAAACTCTGGAAAGGATTCACCATTCTAGAAGCGATTAAGAATATTCGTGATTCATGAGAAGAGGTCACAATATCAACATTAACAGGAGTTTGGCGGAAGTTGATTCCAACCCTCACGGATGACTTTGAGGGCTTCAAGGCTTCAATGGAGGAGGTACCTGCAGATGTGGTGGAAACAGCTGGAGAACAAGAATTGGAAGTGGAGCCTGAAGATGGGACCGAAACTGCTGCCATCTCATGATCAAACCTGAGCGGAGGAGGTACTGCCTCTTATGTATGAGCAGAGAAAGTGGTTTCATGAAATGGAATATCCTCCTGGTGATGCTGCTGTGAAATGAGACTGCTGAAATGACAACAAAGGATTTAGAACATGACATAAACTGAGTTGACAGAGCAGCAGCAAGTCTGAGAGGACTGACTCCAGTTTTGAAAGAAGTTCTATGGGTAAAATGCTGCCAAACGGCACCACTGCTCCAGAAAAGTTCACAAGAGGAAGAGACAGCCAATGCGGCAAACGTCACTGTTGCCTTATTTTAAGAAACTGCCACAGCCACCTCGGCCTTCAGCAGCATCCACCCTGATCAGTCTGCAGCCGTCAACATCGAGGCAGGACCCTCCCCCAACAGAAAGGCTGCGTCTCACTGAAGGCCCGGGTGACTAAGCATATTTTAATAGGTCTTTTCTAATTAAGGTATGTGCATTGCTTTTTAAGCAAGGACAGCAGCATGGTGTAAACATAACTTTTATACATACTGGGGAACCAGACATTCTTGTGACGCCGCATTACAATATTTGCTCTGTGGCAGTGGTCTGGATCCCGGCCTGCAGTCCCGCGGGTGAGCCCAACCCACAGGAGAATTTCCCTAAAATAACATTAGCATAAACAGGTCTTTTCTCACAGAACTTTTCACTCAAAATGTCTGTCAGCCATGTTGTATCTAGCCATCTGCCATTTCACAGATGTTTTTCTTTGTACATGTGATCCAGCTGTAAGTAATTTAAAGTAAGAACCCATTGAGATACTTTAAAACCTCTGTAGGGTTTGTGTTTTTAGGAGGAGAGGCACAGTGTACATCCAACGTGACCCTTCAGTCCGGAACAGCTTCCTTTCACAATTAGCAAAAGCATTGTATTTGCTCTAAGAAAACTCATTTTTCGTCTCACCTGTCATCAGTGGTGAAGCCCAAATAAATAAACCTGTCCCCTGATCTGGAGATTTGCGTTCATCTCCTCTCTCCCTGGTTTCCCGTGTGTAAACCCCTGCGGCCAGGGATCTGGTTCTCACTCAGTTTCTTGTTGGCAGAAGCACTGGGTAAGCATGGATGACGTCACCTCAGTGTGCTTGGTTTCACCCGGTATGAACCTTCAGGCGCTGCTCACTTTCTCAGGCAGTCTGAGCTGTTTCGGGAAATGGGAGCCACAGCCTACTATTGACAAATGAGTGAAGAGAAGCAGCTACGGCACCAAAACTCAGTGGCAGGTCCCTGCCCCATCACACCAAGTTTTCAAAGTGTGTGACTCTTTCCTCCCCACCAAAATATCTTCCTCACTTTTTGGTTTAAGTTATTATTTAAATCCATTTTTATACCCTGTACACATGATAGGACTGGAAAGGTGGTAAGGAAAGGTGTACAGGTCAAAATAAACTGAGTGGCAGAGGGAAGCCAAGGTTACACCTACAGGATGAATAATTTGTGGGGAATACTCACGAGTGAGCTGCGTGTGGAAGCAGATGGAGTCACCGAACCCATCATGCGCTGTGTGTGTGCGTGCTGCGCTGTGTATGTGTGCTGCGCTGTGTGTATGTGTGCTGTGCTTTATGTGCATTGTGTGTGTGTGCTCTGTGTGTGTGTGCTGTATGTGCACTGTGTGTGTGTTGTGCTGTATGTGCACCGTGTGTGTGTGCTGTGCTTTATGTGCACTGTGTGTGTGCATTGTGTGTGTGTGCTGTATGTGCACCGTGTGTGTGTGCTGTGCTTTATGTGCACCATGTGCGTGCTGTGCTGTATGTGCACTGTGTGTGTGTGCTGCGCTGTGTTGAGAGGGGCGAAGGCATGTTCTAGTGCTACCATTTCCCAGGGTGTGAGGAACTCTAGTCCCTTCATACTCTTCTGAAATTATAACCTTCCCCATCGCCAAAGAGAAAAGACACTTTCCGTTGGGGACTTGGAAGTGTCTTCTGAGTGTGGACCTTCCCATTTAGTGTGACGTTGATTTAGCGTGGATGAGACTTCCTCCCTGTGAATTAGGTTCCTCTGTTACTTGGCCAGCATTGTATGTTTTGATAAGGAGCTAAGACTTAAGTAAAATACAACTTTTCAACTCAGAACGAGGGGGATGAGTAGCAGCTGGAATTAGGTCTCTACCTTCTTGCTATGTCCATAGGTCTCTAACTCTCCACAGCCCATGACAGTGTGTGGCCTCCCTGTCTACTCCCCACGTGGAGAGATTCAGTATCTGAGAGCACAGTGTGAGTTCCCAGGTCTGATGCCACTGTGTTGAGGGGGTTATGTGGAAGTTTTACAGATGGGTCTCGTAAAAATCTAGGCCCGGTGTCGGTAGCCAAGCTGGTACTGGGACAGATTTCTGAGAAGAGTTCACGTCATGCTTTTCTATGTAAATTCATCTAAAAGCTAATATTTGTTCTGGTGTAAGATTGCCTCATGCCTAGTTGGGAAAATAACAAGCTATGTAATTAACTACTTTTACATTTTTATGCTTAAATAATCCAAGTGTTTAGGAATTTCTACCTAATTCTTAAAAGGGGGCTAATGGGAATGAGCTGGCCTGCTTGGCCCGTAGCTAGCTGGTGGCAGTGACTTAACAGACCGTGTCCTGATGCTGAATTAAACAGAGTAGTGCGTTCTTTGTTTCTCAGCGAATTTCTTAGGGAAGGCAGCAATTTTAGCGGTGAGATTTGGTTTTACCAGACCCAAGGTTTGTAACAGGGACGTTTGGTGTGTTTTTCAGGATCGGGACGGCGGCTCTGGCTGTGCAGGTTGTGGGCAGCAACTGGCCAAAGCCCCACTACACTTTGCTGATCACAGGCCTGTGCCGCTTCCAGATCGTGCAAGTGCTGAAGGAGAAGCCGTACCCTGTTGCCGAGGTGGAGCAGCTGGACCGGCTGGAGGAGTTCCCCGACACCTGTAAGACCAGGGAGGAGCTCGGGGAGCTGTCGGAACAGTTTTACAAGTACGCGGTGCAAGTGAGTGGCTCACTGTTTTTCTCCTTGAAACTTTTTCTTCAGTCCCTTTGCTGCCCTGAGAGATGGTGAATTTGTTGGGTGAAGTTTTAGGGCAGTGTGTATTTAAATGGTTTAGTGGTACATCATAATATGTTCATTTCAATGTGCTTGTCTCCGGGATTGTACCTAAATCATTCTAGGACGTATTAGCCAACTCTTTCTAAAATTTTTCCAAAAAGTATTTCTAGAATTTTCCTTATAACTTCTGATGTCTCCAAACCAGATAGTTACTAAACATGAATAATTTTAAAAATGAAAATATTGCTATTGCCACTAGAATATCTGGGCACCAAGTTATGTAAGTCGTATTGGCTCAGAAGCCAAGGCCACACTGTGCCTGCTAGTAACCACTGAGGATGCAGCCCACGGAGGGTTGATTCTGACGTAGGATCCCAGGCGGGTTAGCAGTTGATCTCAGAACATGCTTCCAGCGTCACTGGAGCAGGGGGGATGTGGTGGCTCAGCAGCTCGTGATGCTTCTGCCAGAGTGACTGTCACTTCCCTAGTGTTTCATGGGTCAAGGCAAGACCCACAGCCATGTATTTAGCAGAGTTGAGAAAGTATCCCTCCCATGCACCCAAAAGAAGGTGAAGTCTTTGTCAGCATCCCCAGTGATGGTCAGTTACTGAAAGCTGCCTTGAATTCTCAACTCTCTTAACTCCAGGATGTTCCCTGGAAGTTGTTTTATAAAAATCATTCACAGTCAATGCTTAGATTCTAATTAATCCAACTGTCCTACTAAAAAGCACCATTTCAGCTATTGATTGGTTGACATATAGCACCAACTACGTTGAATTTCCAGGGTTTGATCCTCATGCCGTGGTCATGTAAGAGAACGCCCTGCTCCTAAGAACAGGACTGCGATGTTTGCAACTTACTCTACAATGGTCAGCAATAAGAATTGTCTGAGTGTGTGTGTGTGTGTCTGTGCAGAAAGAAAGAAAGCAAATGTGGTAAGATGTTAATAATTGGTGAATTTAGGAGAATATATAGTTTATTGAACTATTGCAACTTCTTAATAAATTTTAATTTTTTTCTAAATAAAATTGAAAAAATTCACAAATTTATAAAGCCTTTTATAAACATGAGTATTACCCACTTTTGAGCCATTTTCGCTTTTCTGATTGACATTTTGAAAGTACCTCTCTTTTCCTCTGAGGCCTATAAAATTCCTGGACTACAATAATCAGCGATCCTTCGAAAGCAAAGACTCTGAGGCCCAAACATGAAGGCTTTATGGCACTCTGATCTTTGAAATTCAGAAATAGCACCAGATTCCTTTTCCCCCTTGCAGTTGGTTGAAATGTTGGATATGTCCGTCCCTGCGGTTGCAAAGCTGCGGCGTCTCCTAGATAGTCTTCCGAGGGAAGCTCTCCCAGACATCCTGACGTCGATCATCCGCACAAGCAACAAGGAGAAGCTGCAGGTACAGGGTGCCCTCCCTGGGTGCGGGGTTGCTTTGTCACTTTGTATTTGGATCTAGGTAGTGGGTAAACGTCAACCTTCAGGTAAGAGACACTGGAGACTCACAGAAGTAGTCAAATTGACTTTAAAAGTGCTGGCTTTGCCCTGGCCAGTTTGGCTCAGTGATTAGAACGTCGGCCTGCAGACTGAAGGGTCCCGGGTTCAATTCCAGCCAAGGGAACATGCCTCAGTTGCAGCTCGATACCCTGCCCGAGTCGGGGGCGTGCGGGAGGTAACCAGTCGATGTGTCTCTCACATCAATGTCTCTCTCTCTGTTCCACGCTCTCTGAAAAGCAGTGGCAAAAATATCCTCTCCTGAGGATTAAAAAAAGGAGAAAATAGATAGATGACAGATGATAGATAGATAGATAGATAGATAGATAGATAGATAGATAGATAGATAGATAGAAGCAATGGCTTTTATTCACATTATCAGTATTAGATGTTTGTCAATTTATGGGAAAAGCTAAAGCAAAGAATAACTTAAATATGTAAACATACTTTGTCTCACTGTTTTGTGAACCTGTGGAGCTGTGACCTTTCTCTGGCATGGTTCTGCTTTATTAGCATTAAGTTTCCTACGTAAACCATACTTGTGATGCATTAGCTATAATTTTCAGTTTCTATTTCTTAAAAGTGAAATGAATTTTAAAGACACTTGACAAATAATCCAACTACAAAATCTTAGATTTCCATGTTTCCCCCCAAACCATAAAAGTTCTCTTACAAACGTATGTTTGTAAGTTTCGTATTTTAAGCTGTCTGCTTTATTGAATCTTCTTAGAACTGGAACCGGTTTTTACTGAAACAACTCTCCTTATTTTATCAGTGTATTTAATGCTTAAATCCAGCAATTATAATAGCAAGTGCAGCGAATCCAAGCAGGCTGGGTATAAACACAGGAATTCAGTTCAACTGGTAGGAACCAGTGGGTGTGGAAACACCAGTCACCTGGCCAGGGGCACGGGCAAGTACACTGGTCACATTGAGGTGTGGGGAGCAGTCATCACTCAGGCAGACGGGCAGTCGCGGGTGGTTAAAAGTGCCTCTAGTCTCTTGTGTATGTAAAGCTTTAATATTTTGAACTAGAATTTGTTCAGACCTAATATGTAGAGACATTCTAGGCTTTAAGAGAATAATTCCCAGACAGAGTTGCCATACAATGTGTGTGTTTTCTTGCTCTGGGAACAATATACTTGTGGCTTCATTTTTCAATGAAAACTCAAGGTGCTATTTTTTGTCTTTTCTCTCAAGCAACCTGCTGAGTTAATGTAGTGAATGTGGTTGCGTTGGCCACAGTGTAGCTGTGACTGTTGAGAGGAGCTAACAGTTTACGTCAGGGACCCTGCCTGCTTTGTTTCCGGAGCTTGCGTTTCTAAGAGCACGAGCCTGGCAATGGACTCACTCTTGCTTCCTTAGATTCTAGATGCCGTGAGTCTGGAGGATCGGTTCAAGATGACCATACCGCTGCTCGTCAGACAAATTGAAGGCCTGAAGTTGCTCCAGAAAACCAGAAAACACAAGCAAGACGATGATAAGCGGGTATTTCTCGTAATCCATTTCTTTAGGTTCCCCGTTGTTGTTATGGGATATAAGATTGCGGCTTTTTGAAGGAAAAAATGAAGGAATTAAAAAAACGAACAAAGGAAAAAAAGGTCTTTGTCTCTTACCACTCAAGTTGCTGATAGAATTTTCAATTTCCGCATGTTTCCCTCGAGCCCTTTTTCAGGCCCGAATCTTTCTTTCCTACGCATGTAAACATTTTGTCATTTTCTGTTTCTGTTTTGGGAATCAAAAAGGATAATTGATTTGCCAAGCCATTTCCTTTTTAGCCAAACATTCTGTGTTTTTTCCAGTGTTTTCTATATTTTAAAGATTAGCAAGTAACTGCTGTGTCTGAGTAGAACTTTTTAACGAAACAAGTAATGTTAAAACACCTTGCTGACCGGCTATTTCGAGCCAGGACTTGCCCAAGTGGCCGGTTACTTTTCTGTACTTGAATAGTAAATGAAAGCATATAAGTAAACTTAAATGTACTTTATTTTATCATATCTTATATTTATATTACCATACATTGAAATTAAACATATTGCATATATTTTAATATTTTTTAATATTTTTTTATATCTTATTTTAAAAAATTTTGTGTGTGATATATTGCATAACGTGTGTCTGCATGCAATGGTAGTAAACAAGTTCTACACACATATCATGTTTCACTACGCTTTCCCTTAGAAAAACATACTTTGCATACCCCAGTGGGATTTTTTTACCTCTGGTTACTATTTTTTGTAAAACATGATCTTTTAAAACTTCTGCTCGTCATGTCTCTGGACTGCCGAGCTGAGAAAAAGGCAGGCGTAACAAAGGGGAAAGCTGGGGACAGCAAACTAAGCACTGAGCAGTGAAGTGCAGACACAGGTTAACGCGTGACCGGTCAGCAAGGTGTTTGAGAGCAGACTGCAGGGTTGCTCCCTACAAGGACTGTATCCGTATGTGACTTTTGTGTTTCTGACTGATAAGTTTCGATCTTCATTTAGTCAGCCTGAGTCCTCTCTGCCTGGTAAGCTTGGAGTCCCCCGTCCTCCCAAGGTTGGACAGGCACCCACTTTTTCTTTAGTTGTCCTTCAGTTGACTTCTACAAAGCACTTAGCTCTCTAACCCACATGTAATTGGAATGGGGTGAATGGGGTGAAGATAGCAGTTGCATTTTTCCCCAGAGAGCTTTTGTTTGACTCAGTTGCCCATTGATTTGTGATACCTTCACTATCGTGCGTGACTCTTCCATGGAGGGCAGGTCTGGCTGAAACCCGCCGTGAGCTGGTTTTACTGTTGTTGTGTGTTGGCTGAGTGAAGATCAGGAAAATACACTTTTGTGGACAGGTGTGAAGAAGGGTCTCTAAAGGCTGTCGGGGGTTAGGTGAAAGGTTGAGGGTAACGTTAGAGGTTTGATGGTCAGAGTGGGAGTGAAGGCTTCCTCCCTGGTGGGACTGAAGGAGGAGCGGTCGCGTAGGCCAAGCGGAGGGTGGGAGACGGAGTACCCCTCAGATGTGTACTTTCCAGGACAAGTGCTGTTTAAAGCAAATACCACAGACCTGAGGTCAGACCATTAGCTCAGTTCTTTATCTTGTGCAGAGGCAAAGCTGTGCACACTCTGCATGGGAGACAGAAAACCTTGCTTACTGTCAGTAAATGTCAGCACTGCTTAAAAAGAAATGGTTCAGCTTGCTCCAGAAAGTTAGGAAACAGCTGACGGCTATTTGAAAATAGAGGAAACAGTAATATTTGGAGTTAGTCTAAATCTACCTCCTTGCCTTTTCTGCTGGGGGCTGAAAGGTGCCCTTTTTAGCAGCCAGGGGGAAACTGCATAAAAACGTACTTTCATCTCAACAGTAAGATAATTGATGTGCTTTATTATTATTATGATGATTATTATTTTATCCTAACCCAAGGACATTTTTCCCAGAGAGAGTGGAAGGGAGAGAGAGGGGGAGAGAGAGAGAAACATCGATGTGAGACACATCAACTGGTTGCCTCCAGCATTCGCCCCGACCGGGGCCGGGAATTGAGCCTACAACCAAGGTTCCTTTGGCCAGAATCGAACCCGGGACCCTTCAGTCCGTGGGCTGACACTAACCACTGAGCAACCGACCAGGGCTGATGTGCTTTACTTTTAATCTCACTTTTTTTTTTTTTTT